TGCACTCGAGAAGACAGGTGATAGCATGGCTGGGTAATCATTAGCTTTCTCAGCTTTGGTTACAGCCTTGTTTGCCTTGTCTCTGATGGGTCTTGTCAGGGGCCCACACAGAATGGAAACTGTGGCCTCAGTCTTAGCAGACAATTGTCTACTTAATGGAAAATCTCTAAATACTGAGGATAGTTGAGGCAGAGGATGGTTGGAGATGGTAGGTTTGATTCTGAAAAGGGGACATTTGATCAGTCTATGCCAAGTCAAGAGCCTGAGGCCTTTCCTTATCTTACAACATGATTTGCCTCTCTTGGTCATGGTTCAAATCCAGTACTGAGAGTCCTCCAGCATAGTGGGTGGTCTGAAATAAAACTGTTTGAGTACTTGCAAAAAGTATCTGCCAATCACTAAACATAATCTGCCCTGTACCAAGCCTGAAGCAAACCAAAAAGGGAGGATATTGTACAAGTCACAGAAGTCATGGCTGTCATCTGGGCCTTGCCAGAAGAGTTCCAATACTCAAACACAGTAATTAAGCATGTCCTGAACTAGTAAACTGTGTTAAGAGAATTTAGAAGAGACCATGCTGAAGCAGAAAGGGAAGCATACGATGTGTGCTCAAGTTAGCTCTGCACCAAAGTAGGTCTGAGTATCTGCAGAACAAGTACTTCTTTATTGCCATTGAGTCTGACAGGTCCAAAGTGCTGTGTATGCTCTACTTCATTGCACAAACTTTTACTGTTGAATCAGCCTGTTTTACACAGCCTTACATAAGGTATGGGATTCAGGTTATCTTTTCTGGAATGGGGACCCTCTGAATTTATCTCTCTTAAGGTCATTTTATGATCTCTTTGAGGCTTTTCTGTGCAGTCCTAGGATAGGAGCATGGTTAGTCTGTGCTTCTGGGTATACCCTCATTTTACACAAAGAATCTTTGGTCCTGTTCAGTTCAGGGTTTTTTTGCTTCAAATAGGAAATCCTTGCTGAGAATTATTTTGCAAGAGCTGTTCTTGAATAGCACTGTGGGTAGCCCTACTCCATGCACCTTCAATGGCTTTGCAGTTTCAAGGCACGGGCATTTAACCTCTGCTCTCGTGTGATGTGTGCTGGACGCACAAAGCTGTTACAGCCTGCTGGGGATGGGAGCGACAAGTGGGCTTGAGTGAGATGAAGCAGTGAATGCTGTCCTTCAGACAGGGAAGCCTTAGCTCAGTGTTTACATATTTCCTTCCTCCAAAACACACAGAGTAAGGGTGAGGTGGGGAGCAGCTGCTTTTGAGAAGATGAAGACTCAAGTATTACCAGGTTTACCATATCTTTAGAAGCTGATCCAAAACCCATCAAACTAAGTGGAAAACCGCCAATGATTTGTAAAGCTTCTGGATCAGGTCCTTAAACCCATCTCCCTCAGTTTGGCTTGCTGTCTTTTGTGCAGCTGAGTAATACTGGTGATCTCAGGAAGTCAGAGCAATGTGCTAGAGGCTGCAGGGACCACCCTCTGAAATGGCAGAGGGCCTCTTTTCACCTTGTCTTAGACTTGCATAATAGCTGAGCACAGCTGTGCCTGCAGACTTACATTTCCTTCAAAGCTTTGTGTTCTTTGCAGCTGGGTACCTGAACCACCTTGAGCTGTAGAGGGACTCGCAGAGCTTTAGAGGTTCTGAATCAGATATCTGGAGATGGATGGTGTTGGAAACTATTAAACTTTTGTTCATTGGTTTTCATGTGGAGGAAGTGAGAGCATGGATTTTTAACCCCCTGGAAATGATTAGAGACGAGAAACACAAAGGAGGCCTTGATGAACATTTTGCCCCTAAGCCATGTGGTTCCTAGTTTTCCGTCTCCTGCTGCTGACATGCAAAGCCAGAGCCTTGGTTTTTAATTTTTCATACTGTTTTTAAACAGATACTTTTGCAAATGTAAACATACCCCAGCACTGAAGGTTTCCAGTCAAATTAAAGAGTCAGCACTTGAAAAATCAGCCTTCAGAAGGTCAAATACAAGCAATCTCTGGAGTTCATTGGGTCCATATGCGTAAACTTCAGCTAATATGGGGTGGACCTAGGGCAGCATTTACCTTGAAGTTAGTTTCAGAGGGAAGCTGAAAATGTTTTTAGGGATGGCTGTGGTCTGAGCAGTAGATTTGAATGTGTTGAATGAAAAAAGACCCACGTTCTGATTCTTGGTTGCAGTTGCATTCTCTCTTAACAGGAAGGAAGAACTTTGGGAAGGAAAATGTGCCATTTGGCATTAATTCTGACAACTTGCATTTATACATTCTTATCTGGGACCATGCTGGGTTTAATAATCTCCGACTACATGCCTATAAAAGCTTAATTTTGCTATGAGGATGCATGCCTTTCAGCCTTTAATTTAATAACTGGGAAGGGTTTCTTTATAAGTTGTACCACCTGCAGTACTAATAGAAATCAAGACACTGCCTGTTATTTCTGGGGCTTGATTGACATTTGAGCCAACTTGGAAAGATTCAAGCAACCTACTGCCTTTAATTTTTAAAAAAGTATTTTTACCTGTAGTTTGTCAGAGCTTGCATTAAAAGGAAGCACTGATGAGTGTACCTCTCTGAAGTGATGATCTTTTGCTTAGAGCAGCAGATGAAGAAATATTCTTCCTGCTGCTGCACTCTAATAGTGGGTTAGTTAGTAGGAAAGAGTCAGTAGAAGAGGAGGCAAAATGACAAGAGAAATTACGGCCTAAAAGCAGCATCCTTAAAAGGTATCATCATTTTATAGCAATCCTCTAATCCTATCCCCATCACCAGCAGAAATGCCAGAAGATCTGCACCACATCAGCTAGCTATCCTGCCTGAAAGGTGTTATTGTTGCTGGTTCTGCTGCTTGGTTCAGAAATGTCTCTGCAGCTAAAGAGCTACAGAAAAAGAAGTCAGAGCCCCGTTAGTTAGGAGAATGCCAGAGGTGAAACTGCAGTGCCTCCCTGGTGCTAGTACATCATTAAGGGTCCCTAAGGAGTGTAGGAGGTGGAGATGCTTGAAGGTTAGAGGAGTTATTCCTTAACTCATGCCTTTTCATTGAAGAGCAGAGGAGGTACACGTGTTGTGTGTGGTTACACAGTGTGACAGGAATGCTGAGAAGGGCTGAAATCCTACAGCTCCCAGCAGTAGAGTTTTTATTATTGGGAGGATGGAGGTCTCGCTGTCGGAGGGGTCCTGGCAGCATCCAGTTAGGCAGGACATGGGGCCAGGCCAGACGGTGTCCAGCTCCATGGTGAGGGACTACAGGAGCTGTCATGAAACATGGTGGTGTTTGGGGCAGAGGCTGAAGCTCCGTGACAAGGTTCTGCTTTGGAAAGAGAGGCAGGCTATGTAGACTTCATGGACTTTTTATGTGTGTTTTTTTAAGGTTTCAGTAACTTAAGGGCTTGATTAAGGTTCATCCATCCCTGGAGGGAGGAAGGACTTCAAATTGCTCAACAAATATCCCTACATCAAAGTTTTTAAACAGCTGCACATCTGTAATCCTGTGAAGCATGCCAAGACACCTCAGGTCTTAGTGAGATTCCTCATCAGCATTGTCCTCTTGTCCCTGTGGAAAGGGAAACTAACGCCTGCAACAAAGCGTTTGAACCTGAATGCCTTCAGTGAGACTTCTCAATTTATCATTGGAGAGATAAAGTGATAGTGGAACAGGTTTTTTCAGAGCTCTTTTGCACTGGTCTGAACTACATCATTATTGTTATGAGTCATCAGGTCATTGGCCCGTATATTGGTATCCTGTTGGCATGAGACCAGAAGGTATTACCATCCATGCTAAGCCTCCTGGATCTTCAACAACCAGTCCTTGAATGAGGCAGGGCTGCTTGTCAACAGGTCACAGAGGGATTACAGTCATACTGATTTGGTCTCATCTGTGCCTTGCCCCCTGAGGTATTTGGTATTCTCCATGTATTTTACAGCCAGAGTAGTTACCAGAATAAATTCTCAAGAGAAGTCCTCACAGTAAAGCTGGATGATTTTCTGAAAGATACGTTTAAATCTATTCCCAGTTATTTTGTGCAATAAAGGTGTAAGGTGAGAGGCTGAAATTCTGTGATCTGTAATGTACACAAAGTCAAAGTTGGTAGTGGTATTGAAAGATGGGGTGCTGTGAATGCCCCAGCATCCTTCCTGAGGGTACCCTAAAAATAGTAATTCACCTTTTTTCCTTAAAAACATGTATTTTTTTTTTATTACAACAGGACTTCCTGCCCTAGATTGCTTAGTTGATATTAACAGATGTAACTTCTGGAAGAGCTTTGTCTCTTCAAGCAAAGCATAGCCAGATCTACTGCTCTGCATTTAACCTGTGTGATTGCATTTTGGACAGTTGCCTAGATGGGCAAATCCAAGGCAGTTGATAAAGGCAATCTCAAGCTTGTGCAATTGCTCAGCCACAAAGAGGCTGTGATGACACCCAACATCCCACCATCTAAAAATGGATTTAGCTGATAGGCTGTGAAATGCTAGGTAAAGTGAAACCCGTAGAAGAGAGCCAAAGACCTGAAAGAGAAGGCAAAATGTCATTGAAGCAGCCAGGTCTTGAGTGCAGATCACCAGTACACTAACTTGGTTCTTCATCAGCTGGCACAACCTTTTCTTTCTGGCAGGCAGCAGTTTCCCTTTGATCAGCACAGAAGGCAAGGCTGGGGAAGTGTTATGGCAGGCAGCCTCATCCCTTTACACCACTTAATCCTGACACTGAAGATGTTTCCTCAGTTTTAACAGAAGTAAAATTGAGCTGCTGTTGTCTCTGAAACCAATGCTGACACTCCATCGTGGATGTGAAAATAACTGCTGAGATAGCTTTGTGTTTATGTGTGGGTTTTTTGCACATTCTGCAGAGAATCAGAATAAATAGAAACCCATTAAAGAGATTATTAATTAGCCTTCCCCTGACAGATAACTCAGTAGGAAATCCATTAGTGAATGTCCGGGTGAACTCACTGCTTGTGGAGCAGCTTTACTGTTTTCTGCTTTCTCATTTTCATTGCAGATCTGAAGCCCTGGGTGTCGAATTTCACCTATCCAGGTGTGCATGACTTTTCTCAGCTTGCACTGGATGCCAACAGGAACCAGCTCATTGTGGGAGCAAGGTAAAGATAACTTTTGATTAGTCTAGGGTTGCTGCTCAAGCTCTTTCCCTTCAGGTCCTGGCTTCAGAGGAGAGTGTGTTTCCAGCTTATGTGGCCAGTTTCCCCCTCAAAAAGAAAGCTATAATTTATGGAGTGGGATTTAGACATCAAGTATAATTGCAAAGAAGAGAAAATTACTAGAATTAAAAAGAAAAAAAAAAAAAGATGCAATCAAAATGACTGGTTAATGAAGCAGAATGCTGGCATCTCACTCAGTATTGTGAATGTTAGAAGAGCTACAGTAAACCATTCTGCATCATCCCTCTGCCAGCACAGAATTTGACTTTATGGTTTATTTGCCACAGCAAGTCTTTCACTCAGAACCAGGTTCATCTACATACCTTTGTGTAAGTGATAGAGCCACTGTGAATGGTTGCTTTCTTCTCTCTTAGAATCCACTTCAGAACCTGTTTGCTTCATCTGCCTGATGTAGTCAGATCCTCACCCAATGTGTTCTGGTGCAAACTCTTTCTTCTTGCCCATTGTATATAATTATAATACATTTTCCTTTATTTTTAAACATTATTTTTATTTAGGAAGTCACAAGAGGAGGGGGAAACACATAAGCACAGGCAAGGCCTTACAAATTTAGAGCTGCATTTGTAATGGGGGAAAGAGCTATGCTTCAGTGAAATAATATATCAGAAGTGGTTGAATCATGAGCCCCAATGACTATTTTTTTTTGCATAATAAACAGATAAGACAAGAAAAAAAAATACCAAGCATGGTCTAATAAATCAGTTAAAGTATAACACTTAGACTCAGATAACATTGTGGTATCAGTCTCTGCTATTAACAAAAACGGAGGGAGAATGCTTTCTTCACAGTGTATTCAGCAGTAGAGGACAGGGACATGAGGAACAGAGGTGGAAGAACTCATGGTACTAGCAATAGAAAAGAGCAAGAGGTGTAGCAGAAGGAGAGTTTTATCCTTCACAGAAACAACTGAAGTGTGATTTCATATACGTTTTCTGCCTGTATATGTGCAGTAAATAATAACACTTACCTTCCTGTTCAAATTGCCAGAGGCCCTCCTGCTTTTCATACAGAAACATTATACTTTTCAAGCTGCAGCTTTATTTGTGCTGGGATCTTTAACCAGAAATTATTAATATTTATTACTTCAGAACAGCATTGCTGTGGGGATAGCTGTGAACAGTGCCTTTTACCAGGCATTGCACAGGCAGGTGCTCTGAGGAATTTGTGGTTTACATAATTGGGCTGCACGGCAGGTTTCCTCCATGCAGCCCCTCACCCCTCCTCAAACCCCACAGCACCTCCTGAAGGGACTCTCTGCCTCCCCGAGAGTTTGTACGAGCGTGGTTAGACAGGGGTACAACATCATCACAAACGGGAGTGACAGCAAAGCTGCCTTCCCGGTGGAGGTACACTATATTGCAGGGTATTGCCTCATGAGGAAGCACTGACAACTATTGATAGAATTTGCCTGGAAAAGTCAGTTTTCATGAAGCACTACCCACCTGACTGGGAGACTGAAAGTTTCAGTGGTGCCACACGGCTGTGCTGAGCAGTTCAGGGTACATTTAATGAAGATGTAATTTCCCAGGGTGGTTTTTTTTTGGTTGGATACCCATGCTTGGTGTGGAGAAGGTGGGGAGTGCTGAGCCCATTTTCTCATCTCAGCTCCACCCTGTGGGAGGTGATGGGGAGAGGTTCTTGAAAATGGTGTGTGGATGGGGTCCTTGGTGCTGCACGGCTCCGGGTGCACTGAGCTCCTGGAGCTGTGTCTGAGGAATGGGAAGGGGAAGCAAAGCCTTTTCTGTTCTCTCCTTCCCTGATAAATCCACACCTTGTTCTGGACTATTTTTAGGGGTGATTTTTTGAGTCATTAGTTGCTCGTGCACCATCTGCTTGAATTTGCAAATGAAACAATACCTCAAAGAGATAGGAGCTGTCTCTATCCATCTCTGCAGGGTGTAATTTATGAAACCTAAATTTAAATGTTAACCATGTTTAAATGTGCTGCTGTAGATCATATTAGTAGTAATGCCAGCTATTCTGGAGTTGTGGAAGGAGTTCGGGATCAGGGTGGCGTTTATAACTACTCCCACTTCTTAATTTCCTGGTTAACATCATTCTCTTAGATGATAGCACTATAAATTATTTCAGACTACTTCTGTCTGTCTCTATTTAAAAGCAGTATGACCTCATCACAGCATCTCTTTGGCTTAGTTCATCCTGTGTTTCAAAGCTTTATAGAAAATACTTCCAAGAAAACCCGAGGGTTCACAAGAGTTTTTGGTTTCAGGAATTGGACACAGCGTGACTGAAACTGTAAGAGGTATTGTGGGCATGCCATGCAGACAGGGAGCTGGAATAACATGATCCTAGATTTTTAAGCTTTATCCTTATCAAAGAGCCCTCCTTAAAGACTGGTGCTGTCTGAGAGTAAACCAGGGGAGTTTGATAACTCCACTGCACCAAACACCTGCCAAGTTAAAATCCCAGAAACAAAAGAATTAGTTTCAAAAGCCCACCGTGGTTTCTAAGCAACGTATTTACTTGTCACATCATTTGTAAAATCCAAATGCTTGCAAGAAAGGATATGAATAGTTTAGAACATTGTAAATCTACACTACCCATATTATGAGTCACATTTCATTAAGTATAGAAACACACATTTCAAAAATTCATAACCTTCATTTTGACTCACAGTTCGCGTGTTTTGTTTTTGTTTTGGATATAGTGTTAGTGTTTTAATGTACTTTTTTCTTCTGTGAATGAGTGATTGTTTTGAAATATTTGCTGCTTTTTTTCAGCTCTTGAGAACAAGTGATCGCTATTTGAGCTTATTTTAATGGGAGGAAAAACTATGATCTAGACCTCATTATTAGTGAGAAAAAAATTGAAAATATGGTCACAGTGATTTCATCTGTCTGATGGAGAAGTAGTGCTCTGCTGTCTCACCTGTGCTGCAGGCAGCAAGGAATATGAGTTTTGTGGAGGAGGGACATGGTGTAGCTGTGACATTCCACCTCCACAAGGAGCCTTACTCCTCGGGACTGTCTCATTGCTGGCTGGGCACAGACAGAAGCCAGTAAAGAAGTGATGATGTGAAAGACCCTGCTTGGAGGCAGGCCAAAAATCATGCTTCACAAGAGCTCCCTGTCGAGGACAACATAAAAGGTGTAAAGGAGGGTGGTTGAGACACCGTGTGACAATCTGGCACAACAGCAAGATGAAGGAAAACAGCTTGGACAACAGAAGGATGGCAACCCAAATGACTGTACAGAGAGTGCCTGGGAAGTCCTAAGGGAAACATTTGACTTTTCCCAGAAGGAAACTAAAGGGGTTTGAGCTTGGGGCTGTAGCCTAATGGGGCTGTGGATGCAAGAGGCATAGCTATGAGGGTCAGCCATTCACAGTGAGTGGAGGTATTACTGAGGAAAACCAGCCAGAAAGCATCATAGCCAGAAGCCCTCACAGTTCTGCCTGCCAAGGGGGCTGCCAGCTCCATCAGGAGATGGGAAAGGATTATCCCCTGTGGAGGTCAAACAGGGAAGTGCAGCTCAGGAGCCCTTGTCACAACTGGCTGTTACCAACAAGAGCCCAGAGTTAGAGAGTGGGGAGCAAAAGCTGCATCAGGGCACTCAGAACTGGCAATTGCACATCTTTATGGACCGCCAGACTTCTCTGCAATAAATGTTAAACTACTAAGCTGCTGGTGATGCAAGTCTTGATGCTTGACAGGTGATTTTCATACTTGATTTAGAGCTGATCTGAATGTGCCTGTTACTTCCAAGTAGATGGTGCAAGAGAGGAGACGTAGAATCATAGAAAGGCTTGGGTTGGTAGAGACCTTAAAGATCATCTAGTTCCAACCCTCCCATCCTGGACAGATATGCCACCTACTAGATCAGGTTTCTCAGGGCACCACTAAATCTGACCTTGAACACTTCCAGGAATGGAGCACCAATATTTGGGGAGCAGGGAAAGTGCTGTATGAATTTTCAAGGGTTGTTTTAGGGGACTCACAGCAGCCTAGGCACACCCTTTTCTGACTATTATGCTTCTGGCTATAAAAGCATTAAAAAAAGTTCTGGATCATGCAGGCTTAGGAGCTGAAGGCTGAGTAGAATGACTGATGTCCCAAAAGAGTTCCTTCAAGTTGCAGCTTGCAGAAATATGACAAATTGTAAATATATTCTAGGACCCTCAACCAGCAGGTTTGGCACCCTGAGTTTATTCAAAGTCTCTGGTGTATGATGGATTAGTTTGTCAGGCACCAGGTTCCATGCAGATTTGTGTCCAAACATAGAAAGCCTGTTTGGCAGAAAGCTCCAGAGCACTGCAGTAAAACGTTCAAAACCTGTGCTTGTCAAAAAATATCACTCTTACCCTAGGGCACCTTCAATCCTGTCCACATCTGGACTGCCACTAAACCCTTAAGTTTCCATAGATGATGTTGTCTAGGCAAAAAGCATTTTGCAAAACAGGAAATTCAGTGGCAGCGGTTGGGTCAGGTTAGTGCCACAGATCCACAGAGTATAAAATCTGTCAGCAATACTTTCTGTCGCTGAATGATCAGTGCCCCTCACCAACATTTATTCTCACAGGGCTTCTGTGAGGCAAGAAAGCACTAATAATTTCATGCTGTAGATGGGAACCCAAGGCCAAGAGGGATTAAGAGCCACCCTGCCCTCTGAGAAGGCTGTGATGTTGAGGCACATGAATATATAGCATATCTGAAAAGTGGTACAGTACTGCACCTAACACAGCTACTCCTGCAGTGAGACTGCACTTTCTGAAGATACCGGTCAAGTCTGCACAACCTCAGTGTGGGCATAGTTAAAGCTCTTCTCTGGGCTCAGAAAATCCATGGCAGAGGTGTAATTTGGACCCTTTATTCTTGTATTTCCACTTGGTATTTTAATCACTTGCTCTCAGCCTTGTTTCTCCAAAGAAGATGCAAAATGTTCATAAAAGCCTGAGTCCCATGC